TATATTTAATATTATAAATTTTACATGAATAAAAAAATTAATTATTTAAATAAAATATTAAATTATATAAAAAAATAATACTAAAAAATTATCCCAAAAACATTTTCGTTGGGAGCTACGATTCGTTGTGACATAGGTAAACAGATGGTCAAGATTAAGGAAATTGAGATGAGTTGGAAATATGGACCGTAGAAAATTATTCGGATAGTGATAAGGATAGGGATGATGAAATGTTTTGACTTAGCCATTCTCTCACCCAAGATATATGTTCCAAAATAGTACCATCCCGATTCTTTAGGGGTCTCAATTTTTAAATAGGGATGATTTAATTTAATTATTTTATTTTTTTATTTAAATAAAATATTAAAAATCAATATTTTATTTTAATTTATAGTGAACAATGTTTGTCAATTAGGTTTTTTAAAAATTAAAAAGAAAAAGACCCAAAATTAGAGTAAATGTATAAATAAAGATGTTAATTTTGTATTTTTTTATTTAAATATATTAATTTTATTAATTTTTAAATAAATATACTAAGTTATAACTTTTTATATTTAAAAATTTCAACTTTTAATATTTTATATTTGAGGATGCTAATTTTTAAGTTTTTCTATTTAAAAATATCAACTTTCAATATTCTAATTAAAAAATATGTTTGTCACATCAATATTAACATTCAATTAATCCTCAAATAAAAAATATTGAAAATTAGTTTCTTTAAATATAAAAAATTAAAAATTGATATTCTTAACTAAAAAAAGTTAAAAGTTGAAATTCTTATTTAAGAATTGATAAAATTAATATCCTTAAATAAAAATAATATAAAGTTAACATTCTTATTTGCACATTTTTTTCTTCAAAATTTTATTGTTTTAATAAATTTCTATTAAAAAGGATTAAAATAGTTTATTTTTAAATCAAAATTAAGTTTATTTTGATATTTTCTCATGGAATTTAAATAAAATAATATAGGTTTGAAGTGTTTGCCTCTTAATTTTTTAAAAACCCAACTGACAAACATCAAACTCTTACCCATATTTTTAAAAAGATAAAAATAGGTTAGGATTTTTTTGTTTAATTATAAGTAATAGTAAAAATTAAAAAATAAAAAAGATAAATTATTATAATAAATAAATTTCTTAATAATAGTAAACA